ATTTTTTTCGACTTATTCTTGGGATCCCATCTTTAAATTACATCAAAATTTAGGGAATTGAAAAAGCTTTCTTTTGATATTAATTTTAAAAAAATCAAATGTGTCGCATTTCGAGAAAAAAACAAATATATTTTTAAAATGGTTTTTTTATAACCAAAAAATTTTTTCTCGCTTTCGAGACCATTTTTATCGTAAAGCGTGGAAAAAATGCTATACGATATGTTGGTTATCAATTTAAAAAAAATTATTATACACAGAAAAAACTCTAGCATAGCATGAATGGGTAAGCCATTAAACCAATGGGACCTTGTAATCCGTATTCCTGAATAACAGTTCCTATAATACCAATAGGTAGTTAGCATTTGGTTTATAATCGTTTACTGTTTTTAAATTAACAACAAAAATTATCGCTCCTAAATCTATTGATATTCATATTGATATTTATTTGTTAGAATATTAGAATGTTATTGCAGTAAATACTAATTTGATTTATTTAATAACGTTACTATTGTTTGTATACTATGTATACATTTAACGCAATAAATTCTTTGACATTTAGGCAAAATATTTCCCTATTTTGGTTTAATAGTAATTAATTGAGCAAATAACAATTTAGATTGCTTCAATTTTAATGCATTCAATGACAGCGCTGTTCTTGGTACTATGTTAGATTTTTTTCTGTGTAAACATGAATATTTCGACGTCTTTTAAGCGCACGAGAAAAAAAAATTTCAGGCCTCTGTATCTCTGCAACCCACTAATACTTTTTGCCCCCCATTTGGAAAATGAAGGTAGTCCAATAGGACAATGATTTGGCAAAGTTTTGTTAAAATCGGAGAAAACATAATTTTTAGGTGCACAGAAAAAAATCTAACATAGTACCAAGAACAGCGCTGTCAATTAAAATTGAAACAATCTAAATTGTTATTTGCTCAATTAATTACTATTAAACCAAAATAAGGAAATATTTTGCCTAAATGTCAAAGAATTTATTGCGTTAAATGTATACATAGTATACATACAAAAGTAACGTTATTAAATAAATCAAATTAGTATTTAAGTCAATAACATTCTAACATTCAAACAAATAAATATGAATATGAATATTAATAGATTTAGTAGCGATAACTTTTGTTGTTAATTTAAAAACAGTAAACGATTATAAACCAAGTGCTAACTACCTATTGGTATTATAGGAACTGTTATTCAGGAATACGGATTACAAGATCCCATTGGTTTAATGGCTCACCCATTCATGCTATGCTAGCGTTTTTTCTGTGTGGGAACACTTGAGGTGTTTTGCCCCATTTGTATATTGTACTTTTTATCCCTTTGACCTGTGTAAAGATCTTGTTTTTTTGGCATTAATAAATTATTAAATATTATTATTATTATTATTGTAATCTTGATCATATTTTACATATCGCTCACGCACAAGAAAAGTGACACATCTCAAAAGCCTAGTTTTCACTATGGCTATTTTAAGATTTCCTTATAATAAATTATTATAGGTCCAAAGTACCAATTTTATTTTAAATTTACTTTTTCATTTTAAAAACTAAACACCAATATGCCACTTTATCTAAAAAGCTAGACCTGTAGTGCAACGTTTTTGTGTAATAATCCCAGAAAATGTGTTTTTAGGTCAGTTTTCTTGTATATGAGCGATATGTTTACAGTTAGTTCTCCAAAACACAGCATGTACAAATTAATAGTATTATTTAAGTAAATATTACGATTGTGGTAATTATTCAAACAAATTTATTATTTGTGGTTTTCAAAATATAGCCACATTTTACTACTTTGTGTTCAAACCGTACATTTATGATTTGTTTTTATATAAAATGTATCCGAAGAAGTTTGTCTATTAACAGACACAGTGTATTGCAACTGCGTAGTCTAGCCTTCTAAACAAACAACAAAGAATCATGATAATGTCAGACTAGCGACATGAATGAAAAAAACAATGCAAGAACTAACTTCAAAAAATTTATCGACAAACTATAAATAATCAGATAGTTGAAGCTGGTGCCAAATAAATTGAATTGTTTGTATTAAATAAAGCAATATTTTTTCTGCAATAGATGACAATGACCTTCGTCCTAAAGTTATTTATTCTAAAAATGTTTTCCTAATGGTCTGTTTCTTATGCCAACAAATAAGTTTCTTAAATGGACCATATAAATTTATTCCTGATATAAATACTACATTGTTAAGGTTAATTTTAGCTAAATAAGCCTTGATAATAATGTTAATTTACTTTCATGTAAGGACAATCAGAAAATTAACAATATAAATTGGTGATAGTATAATTTGATTTTTCTAAAAATAATTAAGGAAAAACAGTTAATGCATTTTATTTCTATTGCGCCAACAGGATTTGCTGGTGATTTATAATCAGTGTTTTGATGTTTCCAAAACTCTGGATTTTATCCATTGGCAAATGATCAATTTAATTATTATTCAAAAATGTATAAATAGATAAAGTAATACATAATAGGTACAAGTTTTAACCTTGTCTTAAAAATATAGCAGATGTATTAAAAATTTCATATTTTTACAGACACCATGGAATAAATCGTCTACATCATCAAGTAGTTATTCATCTTCGAGTAGAAAAGAAAGTGCCCCAAAGGTAAGACATTTACAATATTTATATTATTTATTAATTTTGACTAAATATTCCTTTAGGTTTTAAAATAATTTTTATAAAAATTAAAAGTAAACCCGGAAGAACTTACCTTTATCCCAACTAAATTTAAATTACTTTTATGTAAAGTTTTTTCTATTTTTAATGCGGTAACGAGACTTGCCAATTTTTATAAACGGACAATTAAATTACCTACCGCAAACTGCATGCCACAAATGAACAAATACATAAATGCATTCCAAAATTGTCGTCATGATTTCAAAACGTATCAAACCAACCAATTGACATTCGATTACGAGTTAAACGATAAAAATACTTTTATGACGTTATTTACCTACTCAAATTTAAGTTTGCCAATTTTGTTTTTAAATAAATATATGTAAATAAGTCATTAATATAATTTGATACATAACAATATTCATTATAAACTTTGTTTTAAATATAGGAATATTTTAAAATATTTGATCCATTTATTTTAAAATATATAATGGTCCTTTCTTGGACTGTATACAAATAGGGTGGTGCATCGTAAACACTCCATCAAGGGTTGTATGTGAAAATAAAATAAAAACTTTGGACCCGTATACTTTTGTTTTTAAGACACGGTGTGCCTGAACGAAGTTTAAGTCACATAAAAATGCCGCCAAAACCTGATTGCAGTTTCTTGTTCGGGACCCTTTGGTCAATTAAAAATGATATTTACCAAAATCCTATGATTTTTTTTAAATTTCTGTTTAACTCAAAGTCTACCTTTGACAGAGTACACATTTGTACACCGATTTTTATAAAATTGGAGTATATTAGAGAGGAAACTTAGAGAATACTTTTTAATACTGTTCATATCATTTGATATATACATGGTTAGCCAAAAATCGCTTATTTTTAATAAAGCAAAAGCGTAAATTCATGGTTTTGTCATATCAGGCAAAAAATATTTATCCCCAAATTTGTTTAAGAAAAAATGAGCATATGAAAAGTTTTCCAAATTTGTACATTTCTTTTTCTCGCTCTACAGGCTCAGAATAATTATTTTTGATTAAAAGCGTGAACTTGTGAGTCAATATATTTTCAAATAATTTAAAAACCGAAAAAAACAATCTAAAAAAAAATTTTTGGTGCAAAATTGTTTTGGTGCCCCATTTTGCCCCCGCTGCCTTGTTTTGCCCCCTTTCACCTCCCGTCTGCTAATTGTACCATAAAATTAAATAAACCATAAAATTTGGTGTTAATCAAACTTTGACCTCGAATAACTCTAGAATAAATCAATTTATCGAAAAATAATAAAAGACCTTTTTTTAGAGCGTTACATTTAATATAAGAAACTGCAATGATCATTGCCATAAGTTACTTTGATACAGAGGTATAAAATTCCAAACATAAAATTATTTTTTCCCATATTATAAGCATAATGCACAAAAAAGATTTATCTCCAAAAAATGTTATTATACATAATTTTATTCAAAATCAATTTTCCTTATAAAGGATTAATAAGAATCTCACTTTGTAGCCTGATAAACATAAAAATATCTAAAAAAAAAATGGGTATATATCTTCTTTGGCGTGTTATACCAAATTCATGAATTTACGCTTATGCTTTATTAAAAGAAGCTATTTTTGGCTAACCCTGTATATATCAAATGATGTGCACAATTTAAAAAGTATTCTCCAAGCCTCCTTAATAATATACTCCAATATTATACAAATCGGTGTACAAATGAGTACCTACTCTGTCAAAGGTAGACTTTAAGATAAACAAAAATTTAAAAAAAAAATCATGAATTTTCAAAAAAAATCGACAAGAGGAGCAGATTTTGGTAAATATCATATTTAAGCCACCAAATTTTCCCGAACAAGAAACTGCAATCAGTTTTTGGCGGCATTTTTATGTGACCTAAATTTCGTTCAGGCACACCGTGAGGAGGACATATTTACACATTAATTTTATTACTTCCCCCCTTAGCAGGGGCGATTCGCCGTTATTTTTCAAATAGAAAGGGTATGTTGTCATACATCTTTTGAAAGGGCATTAAATTTAAATTTAAATTGGGGCTCCGTTTTTTTTTTAAATTTGAGCTACGCGTCGGCGAGCAATGGAATTATGAACATTTTATTGGATTGCTTATTTACAAATTTCGAAAAGCAAAAAATTTGTTAAAAAAATTGTTTTTAAACTAACAAATATCAGTTAACAAATCAACTTTATCTTTAGTAAAGTAGTTGATCAATCCAATTTGTTATTTCTGTTCGATTCAATAAAAAGTGGCTTATTCTATTGCAGAGAGTGGAAATTATTGAATTGTATTTTATAATCAATCAATCAATAGTAAGGCAACTTTGTTTAATGAGGGGCATGCAAATAGACACGTACATCATGGTTATATCCTAAAATTAGTAGCAAAATTCCGGAAAACTGGTTCAGTGCAAATAAAAAACGGGATATTGAAAATCCGGTGAGAAATGAGACAGTAGAAGTAGCTGTTCTGGGTGAAATTAATTTGGAGGGAGTTTCGCGGTCCACTGTACACAGAATTCTGAAACATAATAAATGGCACCCATATAAAATTCAACTTTTTAAAGAATTACATGAAGGTGATAACGACCGCCGCACGTAAGGCAAAATGATGTATTTACGGCGTCAAAAATATTTATGATAGGCAAATGTCCAAACATTGTTTTTCTTAGCTACTTTTATTGTTTTATATAAAAACAATAAAAGTAGCTAAGGAAAACACTGGAAAACACACCAAACCAACTTAAATAGATATATCTAGTTAAGTCGGTTTGGTGTTCAAAGTAAGCCATTTTTTATATAATGTAAAGTACACAATATTTTGAATAATTCTAATATCGAAATTACCGTGCATAAAACAAAATAAAAATAAGTTGCTATATATATATATATATATATATATATATATATATATATACAGTGTGACCCATTTGTTTGCGACTCACCCCTGTAAAATCTTTATTTATTTTGCGATTTTAACTGGATTTGTTTTAAAGTGTATATCTTGATAAACTGTATTTTTGGAGCAAAAGATGCCATATTAGTACAACATACAAGGTCTACTATGTCAGTTTTTAAGAGTAGATTTTTAAGAATTTATATTAGCTATTTTTTTAAACAAAATCTAAGCAAGGCACCATGTTACTATTAGTTTAATTTTATTTTAATGTTTTTTCATGGATAACTTGGAAACTTAGAAATACTTAAAAATACGCCACGATTAGGGTTTTTATTATATGGTTTATTTGGATATTATTACAAAAATTATATCAAACTTGACATTTTTAAGACTGGTTGAGTTGACATTCATAAGACAGTTACATATACATAGGTTGACATTGACAAGACAGTTAACATATATCTAACCTAATTTGATATTAATTTTGACACAAAGGTTGGTACTAACCAAGAATTAATGTTATATTTATTTATAAAATGGCGCCAAATCCTAACAAAACTGATAAAATAGGTTATACGAATAAGAATTCATCATTATTACATACCTTAAAAGACTAAGAAAACCCTAAAAACTACTTCACAGAAAATATCTTGACCACCCTGAAAGGACTTCCGAGATATAAGGTCCACTTACTTAAAAAATTATAATCATCAATCTTATGGTTTTTATTATAGGCGTCGAACATTAAACTCGTCGTGTAAGGTAATAAATAAATGGTAGATTTATTGGCATTCTGAAGAAAAAATCAATAGCAAAAAAGTTAAGCCACCATTATAGTAAAATTTCGTTAATAAAAACAGATCTATAATTGGGAACTACATGTTCAAAGTGGCCTCCACTACAGTACATTTACTAAATAATTAATTTTCGATTTTTTATTAAAAATTTATTAAATATTTAAAAATATAATTTATTATTTTAAATTTATGCTGCTATTCTGTAAGAAAATGTTAATGATAACATAACTGTCTGTTATTAACAAAAATAATATAATGCCAGTCAGGTTTTAAGAAAAATATCATGTAAACCTAATGATATTGAAATTATCTTGCATGCAGAGCGAAAATGTGCATATAACATTATGTTATTTTCACAGACAGTAAACATTATGTTATCCTTAACATTTTCGTAGGTATAACACCATTAGTCATTTTAAAAAGATTAAGTCATTATTTAGAATATTTTGCAATTTAAAAAGATTTAAATCTTTTTTGTATTGAGTCATCATCTTATATTATTGTGCACCAATGTTTGGTAATTAGAAGAATATTATAGATGGCATTTAAAAACTAAAAAAAAATAAGTTTTACATCCAATTTGTGTTTTTTTCTCCAACTTGATTTTGAGGTACTCGCACCGTCTTTTGTTTTCCTAATAATTTTACATGGTTAGATAAAAAAATTAAGAAATCCTACGATGTATCAAACATTATAAAAACAAAAGATGTTGATGGTAACCCAAAACATAGTAGCGAAGAAATTGAATGAACATGTAGATTGATGTATAGGTTTACATGTAAAACTTACCTTGTTTTTAAAATTCGAAATTATAACGGTTTTAGGAAGTAAAAGGTTTTTAGTTTTGTTTAAATATTACGCAAATTTTCTTTAATTTAAGCGACAGCTCTTCAAATAAAAACTTTTTTATTAATAATTTGTTTATGTACCTAATGATTTAAAAAAATAAAGAGTATTATTATTATTAAAAATACACATATAAGAATACTTTGTATACCCTAATACATATATCGGTATTTTTTTAATCAATATATTTAGCAAAAAAAACTTTACTTTAATAGTTATGGCGATAAATTAATTTTTACTTTATTATTGTTTTGGTGAACAACTAAATTAATATTATAACTTTTATGTTGTAGTATGAACCAAGTTATGGCAGAAACCGTAGTAACTCTATCAATAAAAACGATGAGGATAAAAGCGCCACTTCAATTATTGCTTCAAAATACGGTGGCGGGTATTCGACAAACTACCAACGTGACACCGGTGCATCGCGGGACTTAGGTAGTGTATAACTTACAGGCGCAGCTGGTGTAGCGCGTTTGTTTAAACCCATACTTATACTAATACTGCTTTTATTTAAGGTCGATCAGAAAATCCAAGGATCAAACCACTCTTAGATAAAAAGGATACACTTCATCCACCTGTTTCTTATCGACCTATATCAAGAACTGGGGCTAGATCACGTGACCCAAGTCCTATTGATAAATCTGAGAAGAGTTCGTCATCATCGAGCTACAATTTAAGTAGATTGTATCCTTCTAGACCCTACACTAGATCGGTTAGTCGAGAAAGGACCGATTCTTCGAATTCGACCACGACTATTCCTAAATTTACTGGAAGAGCTGTGTCTAAAGATGAAGTTTCAAAGTATTCCTCCAGAACAAAGGAAGAAATACCGAAGTACATGGGCAGAACATCGATTGGCAAAGATGAACCACTTACTCGGTATAAAACTTCCAGTAAAACAACTTCTAGAGAAGACCTTTCAGTACCTCAAAAATACTCAAATTCTCGATACAAAGCTGCAGGACGTACAACATCAAGGGAGGATTTATCAAACCCACAGAAATATATTAATAGTAGGTTTTTACCTAAGAATGCAATCGAAAAAAGTCATACTGCCTACGTCAGGCCAACAAACCGTACTCATGAAGTAAGTCAAAGAAATAAGGAACTTCTTAGTGTTCTACAAGCTCAGCACGAACATGAACGTCATAGTAGGCCTTCTAGCAGATGTTCTTCTGTCACACCAGACGATCATTATCAAAAAGATTTTTTAAAAGCACAGGCTTATAAACCACAACCTAAAAATGTAGAAATGGAAACTGTATTCGTTGTAACGAGAGGCACCTCCCCTACACCAACATCGACCCAAACGAGTTTCCTAAGAAGTCGTAGAACAGAAGTGGCGAAAATGGTAGAAAAAACAATTACCAGGCCAAAAATAAGACCAACTATGGTGGACCAAGAGATCCAATCTGACAGATTGGACGACTCAACTAAATCAAGTAGATTTGCAGGTGCATCCAGAATATCAGCCACTCCGTGGTCATCATTCTTAGACATGAAATTTTCTAGTCCTTCCACCAAACAAAAATCTTTAAAACAAAATGAACAATCTAGTCAAAATAACTTTGATAAATCAGATAAAACTAATTGTGATAGTCCCAAGAGTATTTCTAGAGCCAGTTCATCTAAAAGCTTAAGTCAGGGTTCGTCAAAATCTGAAGGAAAAACAAAGGAAAAAAAATCACCCTCCCCTCCATTCAAATCCAAACTTATTCCACCGAAACAGGTGCAAACGACTGATAAAAAACTGTTACCGCCACAAATTCCAAATACAAATAAAAATAACTCGATACATTCCCAAAACATACAAAATAAAGATTTTCGTAAGTCCGTATTAAATATGAATCCCGATAAGAAAAAGAAATTAGGTAGAAGGAGCAATTCTGCAAGTTCAGCAGATTCTGATCACTCAGTAGCAGATGCGGAAGCCACAGACGTATCTGAAAATTTGGCCACATGTAAATCTTACCATCCTTCAATGGCTTCCAGATTACCTCAAAAAATTAACGATCCAAGAAGTCGTCGATCACCCAGCTCAGATGCAAGTACATCTAGTACCAGTGAGGATGATATTAAAAATAAATTTAAAGGTCACCTTAGTGCTGGATCTTCCCGTACTTCCATGATATTATCATCTGCCGACGAGTTATCACAGGATAAATTGCCCAAATTAGCTAATTTAAAAATTAAAGACGCTAAACCTGAAACTGTGGAAGCTAAATCATTTTTAATGAGGGCTTTAGCGCCAGTGACTAATTTATTTAAAGTTAAACAAGTTGAGTTACCCGAAAAAGCTGTTATATCTGATAATAATTGCTCTGAAAAGGAAGAATCCCCTGAAAAGACCAAACCAAGACTTGCAACTCTCATTCTGACAAAAGTTGAAACTTCCGAAAAACCCTTGTGTTACAATGAAAGTTCTGGCCAATTTTCACACGAACCGTCATCGCACTCAAACAGTACCAATAAATCACCAAAGCAATTAATACGCATAGATAAAAATACAGGGTTACCCATAAAAACATTTATGAGACATGTGGATTCCGGCGATATACCTTGGTGGTTAGACGAGAAATCAGAAGTACCAGAAGGTGTGGAAACGTATCCTAATTGGGTGAGGGAAGATGGAACAACAGAAGACGGCAAAAAAATATTTAAAATAAGACATAACGAATCGGACGAGTCCAGTTGGTGGTTGGACAGCAGTGAAAAGTCAAAATCTGATCCCAATCCAGCCAATGTTACTTATGTTCACGAAGACGGTGTGACCGAAGATGGAAAAACAATTTTTAAAGTCCGGCATAATGATTCCGACGAGAGTAGTTGGTGGGTGGATAGTGGTGATAAGTCAAACAGTGAACTTCGTAGACTAAATACTATAGATCAAGAATACTTAGATCAGAATAATATAAGACCTATAGAGGATGGTGTAACTGAAGATGGAAGGGTAATCTATAAAATAAGACATAATGACTCGGATGAAACAAGTTGGTGGGTGGATAGTAGTGATAAATCAAATAATAATTCTCAAATGCATCAAGATTATCAGGAAAAACATAAATTGCGGCATATTGATTCTGGAGAAAGAGCTTGGTGGATGAGTAGCTCAGAAAATGTATCTGAAATGGTGCAACCTCAGGAGGAACAAGAAAACAAATCTAAATACGCTATTCGACATCAAGATTTTGATGAAAAACCATGGTGGTTGAATAATAACGAAATAAATCAATCTGACAACGAATCAGATAGTGAAATACCATTGGGAGACAGAGCAAGTCCAGAAGGTCTGGAAATGCCTAAAGATGAAGGCAGACTTAGTCCATACGATAACGTCCCTGAACAAGAATCCAGAGATAAAAAACGGATTAATATGACTTTGTTTATATCGAAACACACCAACATAGATGATATATTAGGTGGTTCCGGTCAACTTTGGAGTCCGGTGTCGGATGAAATGTTTAGATTTAATGATACGTCACAAGAGTGCACCGAAATTGATGCTAGACAAGTCATCATCCATGAACCCAGTCCTAGGAGGGGTGAAATGCATTCAAACAGAACGTAAGTGTACAAAAATATAATATAACAATAATAATAATGTTTATTTTTAGGGATAACTTTGGAGGAGTTTCGAATGCATATCCATTTAGAAAGGTAAGTCTTTTAATTTAAAATATTGATTAGCGTTGCGTCTTGTGCACTTTTTTGTTGAATTTTGGTAAATTTTATATTAACATAAATTGCATGTAAAATTAATGTTTTATGTTTACCATTTCTAAAATTATTTTGCGTAACTTTCATAATATTATGTAACTGTCTTTTATCTAAATGCAATTTAATTAACAGGTAATCAATATGCAAATATAAGTAACAAGAATCATCAAATAAGTATTTAGCAATTATAAGGTTTAAAATCTAACGAAATATGTACAAATATTACATAAAATAATATTTTGTATACAACTTTTAACATTAAAGCCTATGGCGTACGCAAATTATTAATGAACCATTTAGTTTTACATTTAAATGAAGAGGAAAATACGTTTATTAGTTTTATGCTAGAATATGTTTGCTCCTTTTTTAAATTAAATTTAAATACCTGTAGGTAACCACTTTGTTAAATTTGATTTGAAGGGTTTTTATAGGTAAACTTTAAAAATCTGTTTTATTATTTACGTATATGGAATATTTTCTTTCGTAATCTAAACTTGAAGCAAGACCGTTAGGATTTACATCTTCTCGTTTGACGTTAGGTGGTTTAATGTCACCATTACGACCATTTGTACCGAACTTACGCTCTAGTGAATGACAATTCGTAAAGTTACCTGCCATTGACCAGCGTGTCGTACACTGCTGGATATTCTTTGTGTACAATAGGAAATCCCTTGTCCGCTTCCTACGACAGATCTATTTCAAGAAACCTTACACCGGCACACTACGATTCACGTAACGGATGAGTATGAAATTAAAAGTGCAGGGTGCACATTTCTGGAACATAGGAACACAGACGTGAAGCATTCAAATGTAAAATACAGTTTCTGGTGTAACCAGGAAGAAAACCATTATTAATGACAAGAATCTAGTCACTACATATAGATAAACCCAACAATAATAATTAAATTTATTATATTTTATGAAACCATACATAATGAATTGATTAATTTGGTCCAGTTTAATACAAAAGCAACGTGATCTATCTATTTTATATAAAGCACAATGAGCTGAAAAACACCTCTTCTTTAATCTAAAATTCCTAAAACATCACGGTCTTCAAAATTAGTGGTTTCTATTAAACAACATTGGCAATACAATTTACAGAGCTTTGTATAGTTTGGTATAATTTAAATATCCGTTAAATAAAGTTTTGGCCGTTTAACAAGGTTTCGAGAATAACAACATCTTTGTAGTCTGGTGGTAGTAAATAATCTTTAGAATTTTAATACCCCTTAGTCATTTCCTGATATCTAACACCTGACTATTGGCATTTTTAGATAAAATCAATAAAATTTAATATAACAGGTTTAGTTTAATTAATTGCAATATGTTTCGTTTGTTTATAAATACAATGTATATGAATGTTGTTTATCTAAAACTATGGAATAAAGGAAGAATTTAAGATAAAGTTTGAAAAAATTACTATTTAATTTTATTGTAAAAATTATGTTGATAAAAGTTGATGACACATGTGTTAGACGACAAGTTAAAAATTTAGTGTGCACCAATTTTCACCAAACTAAATACATACGTAAATATATCATCTTGGTTATTAATAAATATAAGATAAATCATTTTTTATTGACATTCGCGACATAATAATGATATGTAATTGGTATGTGGTTTTAATCCCATTAATCATTTTATTAGTATTTTAATTTAATTACCTAAAGAATAATTTATTCATCTATTAAATATCTTTAATAGTATATTCAGGGCCGAGCCTAGGGTATCTGCCGCCCGGGTGCAAGAATTAAATTTGCCGCCCCCATTAATGTAAAAAATTAGGTTGTCGGTAGGGAAGGAGTTCATAATTTATCATTCTCAATAAACATACTTATAACAAATTTTATAAAATAACAAAGTATTTATTAACAAATACATAAAAGAATAAAATAAAAATACATTCAGGAAAAAAAAACAAAAATATTTAAACTAAACTAAAAAACTAAAATCTACTTTTCTCGCTTTTTTAATAGCAAATTCCCTAATTAAGTCGCCTACATCCAAGTTGTTAGAAATATCTTCTTCAATACTTATAATTGCTAAATTTGAAAGCCCGAATTGACTCATATTGGATCTTAAATAGGTCTTAATTAGTTTTAATTTCGAAAATGACCGCTCTCCATGGGCAACAGCTGCCATCGTCAAAAATATTCTTAAAGCTAGAAATAAATTCGGAAAAATGCCTTTTAAATCATTAACTAGTTTTTAACTTAAACGCATTAAAAGACAAAAGAAACTACTATGTTTGCATCCTATTTGCCTCACGTTAATAGAAAAACTAAAAATTGCTGAAATACGCAGCCGTCAAATCGGAAGAAATTATGCTTTAACTTAACAGTTCAGCTTGTAAACAATATCACGTGGTACACAGCGCGCGATTTAATTGGTTTCCCGTAAGCCCGCTTCCGTAAAACATGAAACTTGACGAACTCGAAGCGGACGGACGGAAAGCGAAGCGGGCGGGAGGCAATCTATAAACCGGGCTTTAAGAAAATTGTCATCATCATTTTTTGTGGCTATCGCGCGTTCGGTTATGTCTTTTTTATCATTGTCGCCTGACCGCACAATTTTGGCATTGTTTTTATGTGTTTTGTTTTTATGTGTAGATGATTCCTTGAAACGCCGACATCAATAAAACGCAAGTGATTTTTAGAAAGTTTTTTGCATATTGCAAGGTGGCTTTTTTATTCTTGATAATATGATACAATTTTTTAGATGATATTTTGCCGCCCTGTGTTAGTGCCGCCCGGGTGCCATGCACCCCTTGCACCCCCCGCACGGCTCGGCCCTGAGTATATTGTTCTATAAGTGCAGAAAAAAAATTTATAGTGAGTGGAAATATATTAATTAAATTAAATTTTCAAGGCGCTGTTTTTTGTATTTTTAATGGAAAGGCATTCATTAATGAAATAAAAATCAATACAATTCAATATAGTCGTCCCTCGTATACTACCATAAAATCTGACATTTGACAGATATACTTTTCTAACCATAAAATTGGTACTATTCTTTAAGAATTTGAGGATTAGCAAGCAAATCTTAGAATTTGTGTTGTTAACCATAAAACCCGTTTTCTTTACGATTTTCTCTCAATTAAAAATACGAACAAATAATATTGATTTGTTATTTTATAATATATCTTGAAAATTGTAAAAATTACAAAAAAACATTTGTAACTTTTTTTAGATAATATTAATATGAATAAATAAATAAAATAATAAATATGTAACAAGAATACGGCATATTCCGCTCAAGTGAAAAGTTTGTTACACGAGCCGAAGGCGAGTTTGACGGTTTCATGAGATCGGATGCAATGCAATTCCAAACGTGTTTTAGACTATACTTTTTCTACGTTTATATTTATATTATTTTATATTTTCGGATTCAGCGGATAATTTTACATAGGAATCCAAATTGCTGTAAACTACAGTTATTGGTGCCTGCTTTTTCGTTATCACAATTAGATATTGACTACCTAATTCATTTTAAGAGAGGAGGTACCGCGCGAATGGCATGATAGAAAATGACAAAACATTATTGCATAGCAGACTACATAAAATAATAATCTTGAAGAGTTGCTTCTAATAGTATTTGGTAATAATACCAAATAATTATAAATATAATGTGTACAGTTTTACAATTACAATTACAATTACAATAACAATTACAATTACAATTTAAAATAATCCGTGTTAGTTAATTAATATTGTCAAAATCGTTATCCTTGTAATCATAATTAATATTAATAATGTCAAATAATGTCAAAATCATAATCCTAGCTTCAAAAAAAGAACTATTTTTTTATTAATAAAAAAGACTAAAATTAATGATTATAATAAAATATACCTTTAAAACTTGATAAATGTTATATGTACAGGGTGATCCCCTATAATGTCGCCCCCCTTTAACTTTTTTATTTTAAGTATCCCAAAAAAATTAAAAGTGTGGTTATGTAGGAACTAAAAAATACTTTTTTTCTACGTTTAAAGAAAATTGGAAAATTGATCAGTATACAGGGAAAACCAAAATAATTATTTTTTTTCAATGGATCACCCTATATATGAATTTATTTTTCGATTCCTTGTAAAATTCTGAGCATAATTCATATAACATACCATATACCTAAATTCAACCGTTTCTGAAATATTTAAATTATTTTTAAGATAATAAGTTGAAATAATTTGTCTTTCTCTGTCTGAGTAGGCCATTTTTACTTATTTAACAAGACATATTGACATAATATCACTATAATGATTTATTTTCAATACAAGTTTTGGTATACTGAGGCTTCTTGATTTCTAACAGTTTAATAAAACATTTAATGATAACATTTCGAATGCGAATATTTCAAAAACAGTTGAATTTAGGATATGGTTTGTTATATGAATTATGCTCAGAATTTTACAAGGAATCGAAAAATAAATTCATGTATAGGGTGATCCATTGAAAAAAAATAAACTTTTTGTTTTTCCCTGTATATTGATCAATTTTCCAATTTTCTTTAAACGTAGAAAAAAAGTATTTTTTAGTTCCTACATAACCACACTTTTAAATTTTTTGGGACACTTAAAATAAAAAAGTTAAAGGGGGGCGACATTATAGGGGATCACCCTGTACATATTATGTATTAACTTTTATACACGCCATTTTAGTTACGAGTTTTATTAGGCACGAGGTAAGCTTGTGAGCGAGTGTTTGATAAAAACGAGTGTCTAGAGAAGTCTACAAAACACACTATCTAGGACGTATACAAAGAAGAATTTAATGCGAATTTAATTGATTAAAAATTTTACACCTGACAACTGTCAAAGGATTTAACCTGTGACTTAAACGCCATAAAGTCACAACTCGTTAATGTGAAGTGAAAGTAGATAAAATTATTAATTTGCGCTTAATCAATTAATTAACCAAAAATTTTATCAAGATTTACCTATTTGACATTTGTGATATTTGCTTTTAACTAATAAAAATAATTTCGCTAATATAAGTCATGGTTTTTTTGGCCAATAAAATCATCTAAAATTTAAATCGGTTGATATAATTTATATCAGTCGTTAAAGACTGATTTAAAATATGAATAAAAATAGACAATAGATAAGATAATAATAATAAGATAATAATAAGATAAAATTACTACCATGTTAATTATATCAAACATCTTTGCTGTTTTTTGTCTGATTGAAAATCATAATACTTTAAATCAATTGATTTATAACTTTCTTAAGTTTCATTGTAAAATAATTACCCCTAACATTGAACTTGGGTGAAAATATTTATTAATTTTTTTTTAATTAAAAAACATAAATGTTTACTTTTTAATATAATACCTACATTATAGATAATAAAAAAAATTCTATTAAATAAATAATAAAGATTATAAATTAAAACCAACATTTCGTTTAAAAAATATTTGTCTTATTTTTTTAATCCATTTGAAGAATTTTAAATTTAAGACCATGTTCAACTTATTTTCTGCTTTTGAATTTTTAAATTATGTGCTAGCTCTTAGAAATAGAAACATTAGGTTTTGGGTAAAGGGCTCAACAAGGTAGGGGGGACTTTTTTTCTGAGAGGAAATTTACACTCTATTTATTTTTGGGTCCAGAAATATACTACATAGAAGAAAATGAAATGAAGGGAGAAAAGGGAAACATGGGTATTTCAAATTGAATATACATTTATAATATTATTAACAATTTTTGGCAATAATACAAGTTTAAAATGCATTTTATAGGAAAATAAAAAGTACCTACACTCTGTATGTAAAAGCAAATGTTTTGGCTAGAAAGCAAAAACTGGCAGTGTATAAAACTATGTTTTTATATTTTTGATTCAAATTGTTTTTATTATTTGTAATATTTATTTGACAAATATTAAAAAATATGCTCTGAAACAATATTTTTATTTTTAAAATAAAATACACAGGGTACAAAAAACTGGACTAGAACTGCAAATTTTAAACAGTTTTTAAAATTTGTGTACATATATTTTTCAATATAAATTATTTTAAAAACAAAGTATATCATGCCGATTTTTTTTTTCATTGGGTTTAATTTAATATTTTAGAAAAGCAGGGATTCTTGACCCATTTCCAGCAAGGGTGTAGCCAGGATTATGCATGCTACTAAAAGTTTCGATACTCGATCTCCCACCCATTTTCTAGCACAATTTTTCTGGACATGCAATTTTTGAGTATAGCTCCCTCCTTTTGATTAAAAAAGTTTATTCTGAAGCCATAATTTATGTATATCAAGCATTAACTAATATATTTTATCCTCTAGAGCATCGTTTCTTAACCTCGGGTCGCGACCCAAATTTGGGTCGCGGGCCATATCGAGATGGGTCGCGGGACTTGCGGGATTTGTGTTAGTTGATTACAAAATTTTTTTTAACTTACTTTAAATAAAGAAAATGTAGAAAATTGATGATTTTATTTTTTATCGGGTCGCGAGCTTCTAATATTTTTGAATTGTAGGTCGCCATCCAAAAAGGTTAAGAACAGCTGCTCCAGAGTTTGTTTCTTACTTTTTTATATTCTTGTCACAAATTTTAACTGTCTTTTTTTTCCTCTCGATGTCTTCGGCAACATTGCATTTATTTGCCTAAACGCCTAAAAAGGTGTTATTGGTACCTGTAAAAGAATAAGTAAAATAGCATTGCCTTTTAGAAAAAGGGCTAGTATTCCTATAACTATAATATAATTATCATAATTATAATATAATCATTATAATTATAATATAATTAATTAATCTATTACATACGAAGGCGTAGAAGGGACAATTACACTAAATTCATTTTTACAAGAACAAACACTTGAACAAAATTTTCACCAACTTCAACAACATTTCTTTGTTCTTTTCAGAGGGTTTAAGCCGTAATTTTCGTTTGCCATACCTTCTAATCCAAATTTAGGTATTTGTAACAAAACACATTGCAAACTGCGAACATAAGTATGTTATGGGTTAACCCAATTGTTGTGTTTTATATTGCCGCAATCCTATTCAAAACCAAGTTTTTGTCAATAATAAGGTTTAGTCAGTTATAAATGTATTTAATAATACATTTTAAAAATGTATCACTCTTATAATGTAATAAACAAATATTTAAGTATACATATATGTAAGATAACCTACAAATCTACTGTTATTTAAAGTTTGCTATGTTGCCAAAATGGTTTAAACTTAAATCAGTGGATATGCGTAACTCAGTTGATATAAATAAATCAACGTTTCTACATACGGCCCTTAAGTACCTATAATAATTATAATTACTTGTCAAAATTGATAAATATTAGATCTGTCATGTCCAAGTTGATATTCACAGAATATTGTAGTGTATTGCTTTCCTATTGGTTTATCATGTAATATTGTAGATACGTTCTAAGTACAGGTAATAAACTTCTAATAAACAAATAGAAAAAACAATATTTCATTTATTGAAATTACATTTCAAAGGCTATTTTAATTACCTACTATTATTTGATTTAAAAAAAAAACATTTTATTATTAAACGATATTTCTTTTGTGTTTTTTATAAAATGATTTGAATTTTTTTTGTCTTTCCGGTTTTTAAATCGTCTTTATCAGTGCCATAGATAATAAAATGGAACCGTAAATCAAGTTTTAAAAAGAACCATAAATTCAAGTTTAGCTATTGAATCGGCGGGTACCTTGGAACAGATGAGCACAGAAGTACTGCATACGGGTAAGGAGGGTACAGTGACGGAGGAGTTCCTTGTATCTTTCATTTTATCTTCTTCACCGACAGCCAAGTTGTATCTGCGGTGGCGCTGACTGGCAACGGCCAAACACTTGGCGGCTCAGTCGCGTCGCGTTTGCCTTGGAAATAGGACGACGGTCATTCAGCCGAATTATCGCAGGTAGTCATGCTTTGGTGCGATTATGTTTTTCTAACCTCCCGAAATCGATGAGGTTTGAAAAAACGATGGTATTTGCTCTGGAATTATGGTTTCGTTCAGTTGGTTTCGCCTCTACTAACACTGTTTTTGTTATTTGCCGGTTCGCTATCAATGGTTTAAGCTCGAGTTTACTTTTTACGTTTACTGCAATTTGTTATGGTTTTGTGAAATCATGTATGAAAATGTGAGTTTTGGTTAGATCTAGGTTTTTAAGTTACTTCTTCGAGTACTATTTTGGCTAGTGTGCAAGTGAAGGTGAAATTATTACCTGTCAGTTCTTGAAATACCAGTTTTTTTCGATCCGGTTATTTTCAATTTTGAAACATAATCAGCTGATTTAAGGCTTAATACAGATTAGTACGATGCCTCTTCCACGAATACAAGAGTTCATGATTACGTTTTAATTTGAACAGGGGTAGGTAATCATGCAAATTTGCAAAAATTTGTTTTTATCTGCATTCTTTAACTTTGTTAAGTAACTAGTAATTATATTTGGTAACTTTTTTAGCGACTACAAAAAATATTTCTCTCTAATTAAATTTACCAATATCCTGACCTTGAACATTTAATTTGAGGATTATTGTAATGCCCATTATATGATAAAATATTCAATGCCTAATGGTTTTGAAACATTATTTGGGATTATCATTTATTAATATATATCTAACCATTATTAAATGGTATACAAAAGATCTCGTAATAATTCAAACTAAAAAAATCATCCCAAAATAAGTCAAATACCTATCCAAAATGTTTTTATACCTATATTTTTGTAATTCTTATAAACTCTTATTTTAGAATATTTGTATTTTGCATTATTTTTATATAATGTTGATTTTAATAATACAGGTAGTTTTGCAATAAAGTTATAAAATTTGATAATAAAACGCTTATCTTTGGTTTAATCAAAAATCAAATATTTTATTATCGCTTTAAAAAAATAAAAAAATTTAACTATAAATAATTTTGAGACTTTAACTCATATAAAAAAGCTATACCTAAACAATTAAATGTTTATAAAATTTTATTTACCTATACAAAACAATTTGTTTAAACTCGCATATGTCTCATATTTAATAATAAAGCACAAAAACATTGAAATTTTAACTAAAAATTTATTTTTAAATAAAATTTAGTGTATTGTTTACCGAGCGTGGAATCATAGCAATTACTCCCGATGATGAAAGTTTGATTAAGGGAGTAATTGCGATTCCACACGAGGTTAATTTTTTTTGAAAATTAAAAAAAGTAACATTTAATTAAAAACTGATGTTTACATTCCTAAAGTCGTTCCAATTAAGTTAGTACGCTTAAGTTATTTAAGTTAAACTATACCTAAATGCTCACTTTCGCTTAAAAATAAACAATTTGGGTACCCGCAAAAAAGCTTGTGCTAAAATTATATAAATCTGACGTTTAATTTAATTCTGACATTTACATTCAAAGTCAATCACACTGTAGCGTCGTCATGGTAGCGGGAGGGAATGGAATATTCGTAAGTAATATCATAAGGGCATTTAATTTTTCCGAAAAGAATCGAAAAAACACGTTGCTAAGTAATATTTTAACAAAAAGCATGAGTGCTGGTGGCAACAAAAATCCGAGTCGAAGAGGAGGATTTTTGCACCTGCACGAATGCATTTTGTTAAGAAATATTACTTAGCATTGTGTTTTTTCGATTTTTTTCACAGGAAAAATTAGATGCCCGAATGGTATTTGACAAGACTATTTCATGAGTAACAGTTAACAATTAAAATATAAATTGCAATTTTTGGTGACAACAGCTGTCAAGTTTTGCCGCGGGTAAACTCGAATAAACTGCTGACAGGTGCTGTCACACAGTTTTTTCACCTAGAAACCATTTGTAATTCAAAATTGTGCGTTTGTGATTGGTGGAAATTAAGACGAGGGAAATAGTCGTATATAATACCACTAGTGGTAAAATTTTACCGATACAATTTTTGATTTTTATACGAATGTTTTTTTTTTGGAAATGATGCAAGTGGCATTAATTAATGCCACGAGCGAAATTTACAAGAAAAAATCTTGAGTAAATAAAAATCAAAAATTTTTTCAGGGAAAATTTTACCACGAGTGGTATTCGGCAAGATTTTTTCACGAATATTTTTTTTTTAATTAGAATTAACTGCCGATTCAATTTCTGTATAATTTTTTTGACCAAAACGCATATTTTTAAAAAAAATTATTTTAAAATTAGAAACATCAACATTGACAACTATTTTTCGCATAGCAACCAATTGGTTGCTATGAAACTCGTATAAACGAGTGCTTTTATCGTAAGTAATATCATAAGGGCATCTAATTTTTCCTAAAAAAATCGAAAAAAAAACCACGTTGCTAAGTAATATTTTAACAAGAAGCATGAGTGCTGGTGGCAACAAAAATCCGAGTCGAAGACTAGGATTTTTGCACCTGCACGAATGCATTTTGTTAAAAAATATTACTTAGCATTGTGTTTTTTCACAGGAAAAATTAGATGCCCAAATGGTATTTGACAAGACTATTTCATGAGTAACAATTATTCTGCATACACATAGCTTACAATACTACAAACTTAATTATTTATGGTACAATTAAAATATAAATTGCAATTTTTGGTCACAACCGCTGTCAAGTTTTGCCGCGGGTAAACTCGAAAAAACTGCTGACAGGTGCTGTCATATAGTTTTTTCCGGTTTTTTCACCTAGAAACCATTTGTAATTCAAAATTGCGCGTTTGTGATTGGTGGAAATTAAGACGAGGGAAATAGTCACCTAAAATAGTAGTTTTATCGTAAGTTATATCATAAGAGCATCTAATTTTTCCGAAAAAAATCGAAAAAACACGTTGCTAAGTAATATTTTAACAAGAAGCATGAGTGCTGGTGGCAACAAAAAAGAGGAGGATATTTGCACCTGCACGAATGCATTTTGTTAAAAAATATTACTTAGCATTGTGTTTGTTCGATTTTTTTCACAGGAAAAATTAGATGCCCGAATGGTATTTGACAAGACTATTTCATGAGTAACAGTTAACAATTAAAATATAAATGGTAATTTTGAAGAAACCATTTGTAATTCAAAATTGCGCGTTTGTGATTGGTATAAATTAAGACTATGACTAGATTAAGAGGGAAATAGTTGCAAAACTGAAAAAACCACTCGTTTTCTGAAATCTGATTGGTCCATAGAGTAATGAGTGGAATAGTCGTAAGTAATATCATAAGGGCATCTAATTTTTTCGAAGAAGCATGAGGGCTGGTGGCAACAAAAATCCGAGTCGAAGACGAAGATTTTTGCACCTGCACGAATGCATTTTGTTAAAAATATTACTTAGCATTGTTTTTTTTCGATTTTTTTCACAGAAAAAATTAGATGCCCGAATGGTATTTGAAAATACTATTTCATGAGTAACAGTTATTCTGCATACACATAGCATACTATATACCTATTATACATGCATACATAATAAATGTGTAGGTATTAATTTGAAAACTGAAAAATAGGTAATTTAGTTAATCACAAAATACTACAAACTTAATTATTTATGGTACAATTAAAATATAAATTGCAATTTTCGTGACAACAGCTGTCAAGTTTTGCCCCGGGTAAACTCGAAAACACTGCTGAGAGGTGCTGTCATACATTTTTTCCACCTAAAAACCATTTGTAATTCAAAATTGCGCGTTTGTGATTGGTGGAAATTAAGACGAGGGAAATAGTCTTACCTAATTAGCGGGAGGGAATGAAAATATATACAGGGGAAGGAATAATATTGTTCACAGCGGAAGAAATTAATGGCATTAATTATTAACAATTGCGAATACAATCGGCGCATTATTAACCACTCGACAAAAAACTTTATTTACTTTTCATTAAACCGTAATGAAGGGTTAATGGCAAGTAATTAATAGTCAAGCATTTTATTTAAAAATTAAATTTTAAATTACGATTCATGTTTTTCTCCTTTAATATTAAAAATATGACACAACACAGATATTATTTTTGTTGTTTTTACCTCGATGGTTTTTGAATAAAACTATTGTAAATAAATGCATAATTTGCTATTAATTATAATCAATAATAAATTAGGCACCTGTAGGTGCCTATAAGCATGATACAACACACTAGTTTTAATTTTGGCAAAGGAATAATGAACTCTTAAAGCGTTCATTGTTAATAAAAAAAACTCGAAAAGCCACTTATATTAGGAATTTAACTTGAGGATAATTACCGACAACCATAGTCGAGAATATGAAGATATGCAAATTTTTGGTTTCATTGAACCAGCGGTATCAAAAAAATGTTCGCCGGTGTAAAATTGGAACAACATTTTACTTTCGATAACGTATCGGTCAAATGCAAAATAAATATATATATATATAAAGCCATAATAAAAAAGCTTTTTTATTAAATCTATTTTCCAATAAAATAAAACATGTTTTCTTATAATAATTATTTTTATATTGTAGCATTAATGTTAATATATTAATCAGATATTTAATATCACATAATCCCACCTACTTACCTGTCTATTTATTAAACAGTGTTTAGTGCTAAGAAGGTTCAATGATCTTCAATGATTTGGTAAAAACATGTTTAATAGGTTTTATGATTATTAAAAATATGTATACTGCCCTACTATGGAGAAAGGGAGTAACTACAAAAAAATTCTAAATGTGTTTTCTTGTGCTATGATAAAGCTATGGACATTTTGTATCTTAATTTAACAAAGAAATGCAGTAAACTATCTCATAAGTTAAATAAATAAATTAAATACCTACCTACTGCTTTTTATAAAAATGTAGTTTATGCTAATTTTCCACAAATTTCTTGTTACGCAGTTACTGCCTTTCTCCATAGTTGGGCAGTATATCGATACACAAGTGAATAAAAAAGGTGTATTTTTGGATAAAATGTGTAGGAAAATTAACAGTTTTAAACCACAAATTACGTCAGCTGCATTAATATTTATAAATATTGAGAAAAGTTACATATACAGGGTTGGCAAAAAATTATTTAAATAAATCAATTCAGTGAAATAACTTAATTTAGGGCCGGTTTATCAATCTCTGGTTAACTTCCAGTTAGTCTAACTGACAGTAAAATTCCATATCGATCGTTGTGAGAATGGATAATGTGACAATTGTGACAATGGTATCCATGGAAATTATCTACCAGATGACTAACTGCAACTTTAACCATTGATATACCGACCCTCAATCAGGCGAATTAAATTAAATGACTTTTTTAATTTTTAATTCTATAAAAAACTTCCTTAAAAATGTATTGTTTTTTTAATTTAATAAAAAAATAAAAAATGAAACTTTAAAAATCGCCATTTTTCACGGTGTATAACAATTAAAAGTAAAAAACGGTCAATTCCCATCCGATTTTCAGAATCGTTTTCGAAAAACACTTGCTTTGCACGCTTTGCGCAAAGAGGCGGAGCTTACGGCGTAGATCAGCAAAATTTTTACATAACAAGGTTTCCTTTTGTAACATTTGCAACAAAAACATAAAACATGTTTTTTGAATTCCAATAATCGGATGAAAATTGTCAGGTAAAAGAAGTACTACTACATCTTTTTATATTTTTATGAAAGTTTGCATTCAAAAAGTATTACACATTTAAATTTTTTTATATTATAAACAAATAGAAAAACGCAAAAATAAAATAAAACTAAATTCTATCTGGTTTAAACAAATAACATCAGTGCTGAAACATGGAATATTTAAACGTAGATTGGAATAAATAAAAAGACAATCATTTTAAAACTAAAATATTTTTTACTTAAAAATAACACTATAGTGTGTCTATAGAGAAAATAATAAGTACAGACATTTGTTCGAAGTATATAAATTATATTATATAGGTAATATTAGGTGTTGTGTTAGATACACAAATAATTTTAAACCATTAAAAATTTACGCTTATTTTAAATTCCAACACATAATTATTAATAGCGAAAAGGAACATTTAAATTTATAGGCGCATTCGCCATTTCAAGTTTTACGAGGTTGTAAAAATAAGTCTGAAATAAAATTAAACTAACAATTAAATTTCATAGAAAACTACAAATCTTCATTGGCAGCAATAAAAAAGAGCGTCACCAAGTTTTTAATCTATTACAAGGCATTTGCTATTATTATTAATCATTTAAATATAATGACCGTATTTTTTGTTATCCTTTGTTTTAAACAATAAAAGTTTACGAAATTTAGCTACAAAGACAAAGTAAATCAAATATTAGCTAAAAGTTAACGATATAATCTACCTTGCTTAACTTTTTAAAGCTATAAAATATATTTAATGATTTTTTAATTAAAGTGATATATGTAATAAATAATATATATGTTAAACAAGTTCTGGCCGTATGCACAAAACTTTAGTTGATTAGTTTGTCATTGGTTTTGTTTTTAGGCGTACATTTGAGCTGTGTAGATGAAGTTAATATGATTGTGTGCAAGGGCGTAGCCAGGTGGGGACAGGGGGCAGCTGCCCTCTAGTAGGGTTTAGGTAATCGCTAAAATAGGTACATACAAGGAAATGGGGATCAATTGCAGTTAAAGTTTTGAAACTGTTTTGTAAAGAATGTCGTTTAATAAAATAAATATTTTTTTCTATTAATAAACGGGGGGATGATTTTTATTAAAATGCCGCTTTTCGAATTAAGGGAAATAAAGAAAATTTGTATACACTAACCGGCAAAAAAACCGGCCAACAGAAATTGGCCACAACTTTAATGTTGATTTCCTCGCGAACCACTCATCTGATTTTGATTTTTTTTTTAAATGTAGCTTGATTCTTTAGTTACGATAATACACTGCACGTCAGAATTAACGCATAATAAGTAAAAAGATTTTTACTCTAAAACGCCTTTATCAATCTTTATAAAATTTTGGATAAAAATACTTTAACTTAAATCTCAGTTTACATGTTCAAGGATTTTTCGAGAAAATATTCCCAAAGCACTTTTATTTAATAATAAAAAAATACTCGAAAAAAAAAATTTAAGGAATTTTTTTTAAGTAAATTAAAAATATACTGTGAAATACCGCATTTTTGTAAGTATACCCTGAAAATGTACAAATCAAACAAACAGTAACGAAAATACAGTGCTTAAAAGTCTTAAAAAATGACCATGGTCAGCAAAATAATCATAATCGTTACTGTTCGTTTGATTTGTACACAAGTTTTAGGGCATACTAACAAAAATACGGTCTTTAACAGCATATTTTTTATTTACTTAAAAAACAATTCCCTAAAAGTTATTTTTCTAACGTTTTTTTATTATTAAATAAAAGGGCTTTAAAAATATTTTCTCGAAAAACCCTCGAACACGTAAATTGAGTTATAAGTATTTTTAAACAAAATTTCATAAAGATTAGTAAAGGCATTTTAGAGTTACAATTTTTTTACTTATTATGCTTTAATTTTGACGCGCAGTGTACTATTATTCTGATTTTAATTTAAGCCCATACAGGGTGCAAAAGTAAACACTTCGACCATCTTCAATTATTGCCACAATATATTATCGTATACGAGAACTATCCGTTACAGATAACGGTATTTTTTTAATTGACAACCTTTGACAACTTTTACTGTCATATTTCAAAATAACTAACATCCGTTCCAGCGTAGGTCTTTACTTTACACTTATTTCTTTTTACATGCGAAGACTTTATCCGGTCACATATCTAAATTCCAAAATAATGCTTCTAAAAGTACGAAGATTTTGTTGTATTATTAGGTATAAAATTAAAAGCGGATTTTATAAATTTCACCTAATAAATTGTAAGTCATCATCTAAATTAACTTTTTATAACAACTATAGAAAAGCAAATTATATTTTTGATGGCACATATACGTTCTTTTATGTATATGGCATAAATCAGTTCGTTCCGGGGTATTCGTTGTAAGCAGTTTCAAAACGAAAGCAGTGTCCAATCAAAATCATAATTCGAGCAAATACCAGGTCGATATTGCAAAGCAATACGATCGAATTCAGTAAGTAACCTGAGATTTTACACAGATAACCGTCCACCATGTGACGAAGGCCAAACTGGAAGTGGACATAGCAAAGAAGAGTTAAAAAAAAACAAAATTCGTTGTTGTGCGCTAGTGATTGTTTGGTGAAGTGCACAATGTCGCTGACATGCCGAGTGCAGTATTTGAATGACATTGATCCGTTCTCGTACACGACGAATTTCCCGGATCCCGCAAGACCTCCGGTGCATACGTTTAGCGTCACCTTACCGCTAATCAACCAGCTGGCAGCGGTCCACCGGCTGCTTAATTCTCCGCACAGGGTAAGTTTCTCTACCTACCTACCTGCCTACCTACCTACGAAAACGTATAAATCTGTTGCGGTGGTCGAGAATTTTAGTATTTTAAGTTAAATTTATACTACACTCAAAGGCAAAATAATCGATCCACACAAATTATCGATTAATTTCAATCACATATAACTTTTTTATAAAAATATATTTGATTTCGCATTTAAACAAATATTAAAGAATATTGTAGATAAATTAATGGAAAATCTCTCACATTTTAAATATTAGTAAAAAATATACGTACGTTTATAATTTACAGGTTTAAAAAAAATATTTTTTTTACCATTAGTTTAAGACACTCTGTAGAGTGGCAAAACCGTATATTGTTCTAAATTAGGTTTTAATTATTAAGCCACTCTATTTTTAATAGTTTTGTTTTTGGTTCACCTTGATATATTTATTTATGTAGAAAATATGGAATTTTTAAAAAAACATTGCAATTTCCAATATTTTTTCTGTACGAAGAACTAAGGTTACTATGGCAGTGACAGTTTTGTTGAATCATCCCATACTTGGACAAGTCATATACGGCCTTCAAAAGCTATCAAATTGTTTTTTATTTTATGTGTTAATTTTGAGGTGTCCTCTTACTTTTAAAAATGTATATGTCTCCGACTGATGTTGCCCTTTGAACTTCTTGTGACGTTTAAAACACTTGCCACGTAATACTGTGACCGTCCATCCTGAATTAAATCAATGGCTCTTGCAGTCGGAGACATATCCATTTTTAAAAGTAAGAAGACGTCTCAAAAGTTAAACATTTATTTGCAAAAAACAATTTGATAGCTTTTGAAAGCCGTATATTACATGTCCAAGTATGGGATGATTCAAACAAAACTGTCACTGTCATCCTCCATAGCCTATGGATGGACCATAGCAACCTTAGTTTTTTGTACAGAAAAAATATTAGAAATTGCAATGTTTTTAAAAAAAATCATATTTTCCTCAAAAATAAATATATCGAGGTGAACCAAAAACAAAACAGTTAAGAATAGATGTGACTTGATAATTAAAACTTAATTTAGAACAATATACGGTTTAGCCACTCTACAAAGTATCTTAAACTTATGATAAAAAACTTATTTTTGTTTAAACCTGTATATTATAAACGTACATCTATTTTTTAGTAGAAATGTGAGCGATTCTATATAAATTTATCTACAATATTCTTTAACATTCGTTTAAATCCGACATCAAATAAAAAAGTTATTTGTTATTGAAATTCATCGAAAATTTGTGTGGATCAATTCTTTTGCCTGTGAGTGTATTTGGAAAATAAAATAGTATGTACAGGATGATCCCCTATAATGTCACTTTTTTATTTTAAGTGTCCCAAAAAAATTAAAATACTTTTTTTATGTATAAAAAAAATGGAAAATTGATCAAAATACAGGGAAAAACAAAAAGTTTATTTTTTTTTCAATTGATCACCCTATATATAAATTTATTTTTCGTTTCCTTGTAAAATTCACATTCGAAATGTCATCATTAAATGTTTTTTAAACTGTTAGAAATCAAGAAGCCTCAGTATACCAAAATTTTTATTGAAAATAAATTACTATAGTGACATTATGTCAATATGTCTTGTTAAATAAGTAAAAATGGCGTACTGAGACAGAGAAAGACAAACTATTTCAACTTATTATCTTAAATATTTAAGAATTTAGGTATATGGTATGTTATATGAAATATGCTTAGAATTTTACAAGGAATCAAAAAATAAATACATACCTATATAGGGTATATAGGGTGATCCATTGAAAAAAAATAAACTTTTTGTTTTTCCCTGTATACTGATCAATTTTCCAATTTTCTTTATACGTAAAAAAAAGTATTTTTTAGTACTTATTTAACCACACTTTTAAATTTTTTCGCACACTTAAAATAAAAAAGTTAAAGGGGGGCGACATTATAGGGGATCACCCTGTACTTAATTTTAGTAACTAAATAAATAACAGGTGTTACATTAATAAAAAACAAGGACTTGTTGGGCTTCATAGGTAATATAAATTGTAGTTAAAGAATAAAACATATCATAGTTGGATTTTCTTAAAATTAAAAATCTTGCTATTAAATACATATGTATATTTAGCCTATAGGTTCTTATAACACTGTGCGACAAATTTGGGGTGACCAATTTTAAACCGGATTTTTCCTTAAAGTAAACCTATTTAATAATAAAAGTTAAAGTTAGCTCAATTTTTTTTTAGCGGTGTGAAGTTATTAGTAATTTATTATAAATTGAAATACGTCAAATTTTGCTAACAAATTGGTTTCTTTTGGCAAAGTAGTTTATGCTTCTCTTTTCGACTGTGAAAAGACTTTTCATTTCCTCACTTAATATTAATTTTTTTCATTTAAGACCATAAAAACATTAATTTTTAGCACTAAAAAATTAAATTTTTATTTAAAAAAATTAATTTTTGATTTAAAAAAAATACATTTTTTATCAATTCCACGTTACTCGGCAAATTTTGTCCCCGCCGTAATAATACAAAACTGTGAGTAAAAGCTACACTAATTAAATAATTAGGCTTAAGCTTATAAGCATAGTAGTTTTTAATCACATTTTTTTAATGTTACGGCCGCGATAAAAATTGCCGAGTAACGTGGAATGGCTTGTTTAAAATTTTTGAGTTCAATGTTCGAAATGTTGTCTTTTTATAATTTTAAGTCGCGTATGTACCTATTACTTGAGTTTTTAAACGTCAATATTCTTTTAAATTAACTTAGTTAAACTATTTTTAGTATATATTTTTTTAAATTATTTGACTAATAGTCAAATTAGTAGATTTAAATTTAAAAAAGTTTTGACCCAGCCGGAGATTGAACTCTGTCGCTTGTCAAGCTTGTCAAGCTGTTGTCATAACCAATGTGGCTATCAATCAATTTTATTTGTCAATAAATATTGTTCATAATATTTTAAAGTTAAATATATTATTTGTGTTGCTGTTTTGAGCTAAACTTTTTGCATCTTTGTTTATTTTTATGGGCCATTTAACCATGGAGCCTATAGGTATGCATTTAATTCAAATAATACTTTGTTGTTGGCCGCGAACGATTAACGATAGGTTAACCGTATGTCGAGAAATCGGTTTTTGACAATCGACATTGATGACGCAATTTGAAACATTCGCCGCGACGACTATAGTTGCTTTTTTAACTCTCGGAAATAGTCAAAGATGGTGATTAATCTTAAATTAGTCAAACTTTAACTATTTACGTAGTAAAAAATAACTATTTAAAAGTGAAAACGACTATTTTATTAGTAAAAAATGCTGGTACTAATTCAAATAGTAGAATTTTGAGTATTTCATTTTAATGGAGATAATAATTTAAAACAATGTAAACTTTATTGTTTTTTATTACCTATACAATTTTATTTTATTGTTTTATGCGGTGTTGTTTTTATAAAAATTAATAAAACTAATAAAACTAACAGTACTAATTTTGTATAAATTTAATATTTTATAAAAATAAAACAAAATCTTAAAATTAGTGTTTTTAAAATTCCAACAGTTGTAAAAAATCCCTAGAACTATTGAAAAAATCACTAACTTTCTGACAAAAGGCAAAAAGACACTTGACTTTTAAAAACTAAATTTGATTGCATTAATTGTTCATCAAAATAAATTATTTTATTAATATATATTATTTTTACAACGAATTAGAACAAAAAAGATAAAACTACTTTGATAAAATATTTAAATTTTAAGGTATGTCAATTTACAATTAGTAACTTATAACTCAAAAACTTACATAAAACCATAGAAAAAAATGGAGCCAACTTTTACAAACCCAGCGAGGGCTTTACTGTTAAATAGGTATAGGTACTTTTAGGAAAAAAACAACTCAATGTGGTTTAAAATTTTGCACTATGTAATCTGAAAAATTATACTACTTATATTATACACTCTTCGGTAGAAAATTTCGCCACCACACACAACATTTTTATTTTTCATTTGATTTTTATGATTTTTTATTGTGATTAGTGAAAAGTTAAATATTTTATTTTTTAAGTTTTTTAATGTGCTTCCAACAGGCACGGGCCCAATTACAGGAATACACAGACAAATACAAATAAACAGCCATACCCCTGGTGGGATATGAACCCACAACCTCTCGGCTTGTAGTCCGCAGCGTTGACTACTACACCAACGAGGGCGGTTTAAATCATATTAGCCCATATCCAGCTTAATATCAATTTTATAACGCTCAAAGAATAATACGGATTTACGTTTTTATTATTAATTAACATTATTAAAAATGTACAAAATTCATATTAACAAAAAGTTTTTTTGTTCACGGGCGATTTTTATAGCTTTAGCCATGTTGTCTTCATTCCATACTTACCGTTTTCCAGAAACATTCCAAAAATAAGAATATCACATTATACACCATATTATACTCAGTTACACTTCGTTTCTGAAGATGCCAACATCGTTGGCGAAAATTACTTTAAGCACTTTGTGTTTTGTTTGGTACTGGGGAATATTTCTAATATTTGTTTATCATACCATCAATGTTGTCCTTTTTTAAGTAACATTATACACCAAACAAATTTTGTAGTAAAAAATCCAACTTGAAATTTCAGACTGGTTCAAGTTTGTTTTCGTATTTGAGAAATGACAGCATACTATAATATACATATTTAACTAATAAAAAAAACTACCTAACTTAGTAGTACTAAAATTTCTTAAGGTTAGTAGTTATTACGTACGTTAAGAAACTTTCTATCTAACATTCCATATTAGGGTACTGTTCCATATTTGGTTACTTTTCTCTATTATAGATAAACTATTTAAAAAATAATTAACTTATACAATATATTAACTAACTTTAAGTAATTTAAAATTCATACAACGTTGTTATATGTCTAAAAATTTAGTCAATGGCTAACTAGTCATAAGTTTGTTAACAATCCCATATAATATATTAATATTAACTATATTAGTAGGTATACTAATATATTA